TTACTCGAATTTTGATTAACTTTTATCTACATTTACATTTACTCGATATTCGAAACTTTACACATTTTCGAGATTTTTTTTTTTAGAATTCTATCATCTTCGAGTCATTTTCAAATTTACTCGAATTTTGATTAACTTTTATCTCCATTTACATTTACTCGATATTCGAAACTTTACACATTTTCGAGATTTTTTTTTTTAGAATTCTATCATCTTCGAGTCATTTTCAAATCTACTCGAATTTTGCTTAACTTTCATCTACATTACATCGATATTCGAAATTTTACACATTTTCGAGATTTTTTTTTTTAGAATTCATCTTCGAATCATTTTCAAATCTACTCGAATTTTGACTCATTTACGTTATAATACATCGATATCGATTTACATTTTCGAGATTTTTTTTTTTTTTTTAAATTCTATCATCTTCGAGGCATTTCCAAATCTACTCGAATTTTGATTAACTTTCATCTACATTACATCGATATTCGAAAACTTTTTTGAGATTTTTAGAATTCTATTATCGAGAAATGGTTAGAAACGATCGGTACGAGAATTACACGGGGGAAGGGAATTTTTAGTAATCGAATGTAAGAGTTGGAAATAGGAATAGAAATCGTGCATAGAAATAAGAATTGAAAGTAAAGCGTACGAAACAACGTTTTATTACGTTGGAAACGTTTCAAAGGGAGAAGGAATGATCTTCCTTTCCTTCGAATTCCAATTCGATCGAATCGAGAGATATATGAAATTTAAAACGAAACGGAATATTCTTTCTATCACGAAAGGCGCGAATTTTCAAAGGGAATAATTGTGAAAATCTTCTCGTTGGGGCAGTGAAAATGATAAATAAAATGTACGGATTTAGCTGAACGAATATATTTAATTATACGTGTAATTATGCGCGTATCTGTTTACAAAATATTCGAAGTGTGTGTATCGAAGAAAAGCAAATAGATATCAATTATGAAATAACGATGTTATCGGCAACATTCGATGATAAAATTATAAAAAAGAATTTCAGTGAAATTTAAATTCTACAACGCTTTTTTTGTTTTTCTTCTTTTTTTTTTTTTTGTTTCCTTCAAATGCTTTGGTTTTTAAAGCCTTCCTTGACGTTCAAGGAAGAGCGATAAAGTATTTAAACAGTATCTTCTTACAATCGTTTCCTGTCTTGATGTCGTCCAAAATCCTTCCATTGACTTAAACTTCAAAATTTAGAAGAATTTAATTTTCTACTATACACATGTCCCAAAAATATCAGTTAACTGGAGATCCTTGGAGTAATTTCGAAAAACTTTCGTTCCAACTTTGTCAACAGTTATTAACGAAATAACAGAGCGTAAGTAAAACAGTCTTTATGATCGAGTTACTGTTTCACTTGCCGATAAGAATGAAATATAAATTCTTTCCATCCTCTTTCCATCTTCAATCTGAACAAGAAAAAATTTTCTAATCCGTCCAAATTGTTCTCACCCCTTCGATTTTTTTTTTATTTTAAATAACAAGAGAATTTCAAGTATCGAGATATAAAGGTTCCCTTAATAAAGCGAACAGTATAAAAATTTTTATTCATCATAAAACTGTTTGTGGAACATGAATACACGAATCGGTGACACACGATCGACAAAAAGCAAACTAAACGAAATTTTTGACACAACAATTCGTTCACGACAATTTGTCATCGTCCAGAACTATCCAGGACAGAGTGTCATTGTAAAAATTGTAAAAAAAGAAAAAAGTAAAAAAGCCAGCTTTGTCAAAAATGTACAAGCGAACTTCGCCATTTTTATGGTAATCGCGATATGTCCATTCTTTTTTTCTTTTTTTCTTTTTTTTTTATTTCTCTCAAAGAGGAGACACCGATTCTCCAACGAAGAGGAGAGGGTCTCGTTCGCGGGACGTTTAAAATGATTAACGTTTTCACCCTTTCCCTCATTCGCGCCAACTTTCTTTCGTTTCACGTTTAATCAAAGTTTAATCCCGCACGCCACTCCCTCGATAAATTTATCCTTCCTTAATTCGACTCTCTCATTCATATCCCCCTTTCCATTAATCCCCTTGTTTTCTTTCTCCACCCGCACCTGTATTTTACCATCTGACCAATCGACGTATCCTTTTTTTTTTTTTGAATACGAATCGATTCTTCCTTCCCTCGATCCCATCATTGAATTCGAAAATTGATATTTTAAATGGATCATTTCAATGGATTTTTCGTCTAATATTATGTCCATTATATTAGACGATATGAAATACTATCGCAGGAACTTTTGGCAGAGAATTTTCTATTTTTTTTCTTTTCTTTTTTATTTTTGTGGATATTTAAATTTTGTTACGATTATAAACTTTTGGTAGCGCACATCAGTTACATTCTCTCTAATTTTAATTCCGTCTTCTTCGGATGCAGCGATAAAAACTGTGGAGAAAATTTAAGCAAGCTTGCAATTTAATTCGTAATAAAAATTTAACCACGCTGCGAGTGAAAATTTTTTTTTCGAGACAAATAATATAATTATACAACTTTGTTAATATACAACTTTGAAAGTATCGATGATAAGTCGATTTTCTTTTTTCTCGACGAGAAAAAAAAATCCACGTGTAATTTTACGAAAGTTGCCTTCCCCTTTCGAGCAACACGGGATTTTAATTCGTGACAATTAATTACGCTTTGTTTGATTTAAACTTGGCAGCTTTGAGGGAAACTGCATCGATGAAATTGAGCTTTTTCAATGAAAAATCCATCGAATTCACAGTTGAAACCTTGATATTTCCAATGGCGTTTTGCAATGCACGCATTGATAACGCGGCTCGATCAATTTTCTCACCCTCGCATTTATTAACAACGTGTGGCATTCGCGCGTATTTATCGGTATCGGTCGATCCATGTGAATCGAGAGTGTGTGCGTGCGCGTGTGTACGCGTGTACGTGTTATCGGGATAACGCGGAGAAGAGAAGAAAGATGAGAGCTAAAAAAAAAAATTAAATTAAATTAAATTAAATTAAATTAAAAATATTATACAAAATGAAAATAATTTACGCGTGAAAATATCGCGAAATATATCTGTTTGCAAATTGAAATAACGTCGATTTATTTATTTATTTTTTTTTTTCTTTCTTGCGGATATGATTCGTAAAAAAAGAAAAAAAGGAGAATCATTTCTAAAAGAGAAGAAAAAAGAATTTTAGAAGAAAAATTCGAATTGCAAATTTTCTCGTTGGGAAAATTTTACATCATTTTTATGAAAAGCCCGAAGGCAGTAATCAATAGCTCGCAAACCGAATAATATTCATTTTTGATATTAAAATCAGAAAGTTGATTAATTCCGGTAATTAAAAGGTTCAATCGATTTTTTCAATATCGTCGGCCAATACTGGTAAGATATCTGGTAAGAAGTATAATTCTTATTGAACCATGACAAATTCATTTTACAATCCATTATTGTGCTTTATTCTCACGAATAAAGTATAAAATATTACGTACACGAGATTTAAATAATTTTAAAATTGGATCGTTGAAAAGAATGGCACGATTTAAAAATTACGAGGAAACAAATTAAATGATCGAAAATTCACACATATAGAATCGTATTTTCTACATAAAATACAAACGACAATTCGATAAATGCAAATTACCGTAATAATTATCAATCTGCCGTTCATTCGCGTTAAAAAAACGCGTAACAATATTACCCATATCAAAATGTCAAATTGGAAATTCAAATTTTCTAAAAACTTATCTACAAAATTCCATTTAATAAGAAGAACATTATGATTGAACAAATTTTCACGCAAATTGATTTACTCGAAACGTTCTCGAAGCCGATTAAATTAGTACAGTTAGTTATTTCTCGTTTGCGGTTAGAGGGCTTCTAGGGAATTTTGGGGAGGATGGAAGACAGGATAAGTTGGCAGATTCCGATAGGCGAATCAACGAGGCTTTGGATCGTGCAGGGATTATCGAATGGAGGCTGGCATGTTTGACAAGCAGCGTTTTAATTTAACGTCGATTAGCGGATCCTGGACGGGGGATTATGGCCCGATTAACAGTTACAAGCAGGAACAAGCAGGTCCGGCATATTGTACGTATCCACTCGTGGCAAAGCCAGCTGCCGCATACTTGCTTTGCCCTGCGTTCTTGCTAATTGCGTTCATCGGCCGGGCGCAACACTGTGCATTGGGATTACTCGTGATACATGCCACCGATAAAACGCTTTCAATAGCGCACGCGCCAGTTGGAGTGAGGTTATGTTATCGCGATCTCTCCTTCCTCGCTCGAGGCCAATTAAACGAAACTTTTGGTCGCCGGAAATTCGAACCTCGTCGATGATTAGACGCTACCGATACAATTATTTCGGTAATCAGGTCGAATAATTAACGGAACGAATTTCTATCGAGCAATTTGATAATATCGCGTATTTTTCTTATTTTTTTTTTTTCTATAGATTCGATGTCGAAGAAATTATATTTTTTTAATATTTAATTTATGATTATATATAATATATATAATAAAATAAATTATATATAATATTTAATTTATAATTTATAATTAAATTTTTTTAATCGGATTTAATTGGATTGAGAGACTGGTTTTGGATTTATGAATGTAAATCAATTTCTTGCAATGGAACAGATTTCTCGATGTAAAATTTATCGAATCGTTGGTACAGAAGAAACTATCGTTGCTTGCGATTTCACGAGTCCTTCCATCGTTTAAAATCGATCATTGAAACAGTTGTTTGGAACTCGAGGCTCGTCGATTATTAGAGATTATGGATATAATTAATCGAGTAACGAGGTCGAATAATTAACGGAGCGAATTTGTATCGAGCAATTTGATAATATTTTTTTAATAGATTTGAGATCCATCGGATTAATGAAGAAGTAATTTCGATTTTATAAATGTTATAAGAAAATATTTTTATGGATTCCAGTATCCATTAGATGGATAAAAATAAATTTTCTGCTTTGTGCGAGTGAAAATTTAAAAATAAATCCATTCGTTACACAGTTTAATAAAAAAATTGCACTTATAGAACTATCGGTGCATAAAGAACCATTGTTACTTTTATCAATTGGAAGATCAATTCAAATAAAACGAAACTTTTAGTCGAACTGAAAATTCAAGTTTTTCATCTATTGTTACATCGATAGAGAAGTATTATATATAAAACGTAGAAAAAGTTTCGAGAGAATCGGAAACGTTTTAAGATGAATTAATCTCGAACAAATATCGTTGAACGAAAGTTTTCATAGAATGGAAGTCTTGATTGAATTTGCATTTCGATTGCACAGATTCTCAGTGTTTTTGTTATTGTTGCTGCACAAACAACATATTAAACACGTATTCGATGATGAAATAACCGAGAATCGACTGATACGAGGATCCTCGAAATCGTATGCTCTGCACTTTCTAATTGATTCGAGTCGAATACGTGATCTCATTTCATGCATCCCTTGTACGTACATATATATATACACGATAATCGATCCGGACCAATTACAAATTTTTCTCTCGACACAGAATTTCTTTCTATACATATCTATATTATAAAATTTCTTCTTTCTTTTTCTTTTCTTTTTTTTTTTTTTTTTTTCCTCCCACGATTAATTACGCATCCTCGAAAATTCTCTTCAACTTGCGCGGATCGTTCACAGCAATTATTATCCTTCCTTAGTTGGCATAATACGGTGAGTTTGCCGTATCCAACCGCTAATCACCATAATTTAATAAGATCGTAAAAGATCGGAGATTGATTGACGGTAACGATTATCGAATAATGAAACAGACTTGAACGGTAGACGAAGTAAGTGATTTATGATAATAAAACGGAGCAACGACCTCGTGGAAAATACAACAATTGATCGTATATCAAACTCGTGACATCAAAATGCAAACAAACGATATAATCTATGTAAAAAAAAAAAAAAGAAAAGAAAAAGAAAGAGAATACTAAATTAATAATAAATTAATAAATTAACAATCTTATTTTTATACATTAAATTATTAATTAATTAATATAATAATTATAATTATTTTATATATTATTATATTAATGTATATATCTTATTTTTATACATTAAAATATTAATTAATTAATATAATAATTATAATTAATAATCTTATTTAAAAAAAGAAAAGAAAAAAGAAAGAGAAGCGGATGTATTTACGCAATAATATTAAATTAATAATAAATTAATAAATTAACAATCTTATTTTTATATATAATCAAAAGATTATAGACGAGTCTCTCCATCGCTCTCTTTTTCGATATTATTTTGATCCGTGACGTTGCATTCTTCTTTTAATGCGAATGCACTCGTCACTGAGGTTGTTCTTCTTTCGAAAAACGAGGGAACGAGAAATGCAAACAAAACAAAAATATTCGCGGGGCAAAGCTTTTGGAAGGGAAATCGTGCCGCGCGTATAATAAAATTCTCGAGCAGAAACGCTGATTACTGATTCGATTACCGATTTGATTACATTTGATTGCGACCTCTGGCGGCGCGTGCGCATGCAAGTGTCATCAATCAACTCTCCTAGATAGAAAAAAAAAAAAAAAAAAAGAAAGAAAGAAAGGGAACAACGCGTCTCGCCACGTCTGTCGTGCACTGTCGTTGTTATCGCGCTCGAGCCCTGCTGAAATTTTATTTCATTCTCTGTCATTCCCCGCCCCCTTTTTCGAGAAATTTTTCGAACGAATAAAAAAGCGCGAATGTAGAAGGCGACGCGTCTCGAAAATGAAAATTATTTTCCAACAATCAAGGTTAAGTTGGAATTAGGAATATTTTGAAAGATGATCTTTGGAGGAGGATTTCATCAATGTTGTTTAAAAATAATTTTTCAAAGAAACGTTAATTTCGACCGTTTCGAGATTAATTTTTAATCTCGACACTTGTCTCGACGAAACTGATCTCGACTCGGCTCTTTTAAATTTTTTTATCCTGGAAAAAAGAGAGAGAGAGAGAGAGGAAAAAAGAAGGTAGTGCTCTTAAGTAAAGAAGGTGGAACAAAAGAATTCGCAATATAAAAACTTTCTTTCTGTTTAGCTCTGTCCACCGTTCCCGCTTCTTCTTCGTCGCCGCGTTAAAAGCAACGAATCAACGGATCCTCTTTTGAAAGTTTTGCAACTCGGGGAAAATCTAGTTATAACAAAATAATTCACGCTTTCGCAAGGAACACCTGCCCACGCCTAAGTTAGTTCGAGCCTCGCATTCGGGATTAAAAACTTCCTTTCAAATACCTATTTTCCACGCTTATTTATTTCGTCCAACCGCAAGAAAAGACGACGACCACGAACACAGAGACGTTGACTTTTGAAAGAGGATCTCTCAGAAACCGGCCAAATCCCCCCTTCCGAACCGTTCCATAGTTAATATAAATTGATACAACGGAGATTACCCGGCGAGAGATTAATCGTCAGCCTTCTCTCATATCTCTCTTGAACCCCGTGAATTTTAATAACGCGCCAGACCTTTATTAAATTCTAGCTGAAAATTGCAGACATTCTACGTCGAGGTATCGATGTTCCTTCGCACCGTTGGACACCGTTTCATCCAGTCCAACACGAGAACTATGTCGAAATAATAATAATAATAATAGAAGCGATTTCTCGATCCCCTCCTTATTAACGTCCAAAGAGATTCGGTGACATGATTGGACGCGACCACGTCACGTGGTTCGTTACGTAAATACGACTTATCTCTCGTTGGATAGAGGGAGCCTCACGTAGCTATTCGAACGTAGAAACTCTTATATATCGTTCTTCCAACTCTTCGAACAATCTCGAGAAAATTTCTTCCGCGGTTGTAACTTCTCCATCTGCTGCTCGTGCGTTTGGAATTTTATCCTTCTCCCCTTGCTGTTCGCGCGCCTGATCGTCTCACGTCCCTACGATGGCGCGTTAAACGCGGCCATCTATCAGTCATGAAAGCTTAATTCATCCGAACTCGAACGTTTCGAAACGTTTCGAAATTGGAGCGTGAAGGGCGTGCTCTTCGCTTCGGATCTCGATTGAATTCCACGGTTGGGGGATGGACGGTTTTATACGGATATAATAGCGTGGGTTATATGGATTTCGATATAGAGGCAATTTTTAAATTATCGTTTTAAATGTGTTTTGGATTTTCTGTAATGGAAACGCTCGTATCGACTCGTTCGTATTTATTAAATTTATTAAATTCGTAAATTCACCGGCCGATCATTATTCGAATATTCTTCTCTTCGTATCAAATATACATAATGGCGATATATGCGATATGGCAGCAATAAAAGTTTAATTCATCCCAATGTTTCGAAATTAGACGTATAAAGGACGAATTCTTAGTCCAGATCTCGATTGAATTCCACGATTAGGGAATTGTGAGAGTTATATATATTTGCAACGAGACAATTTTAATTTTTTTTTATCTTTTTCTTCACGAGAAATTCGTATCGACTCGCGAATATTCTTATTTATTAAATTCACACCACGATCGATCATTCGAATAATCTTCTCTTCGTGTATCGAATATACGAACCCACGTTGCGAGACCCGAAAATTTCAGATTATTCTCTCTCTCTCTCTCTCTCTCTCTCTCTCTC